TTTTCTTCTTTGCCTTCCCAGTTGTTCTTTCCTTTTTGGCAGTTTCTTTCCCTTTCACAATGTCTATTGTGCTTCTTGAATCTTATTTACTCTTTCAGTCTCTTATACTAGGGAGACGTTATGATGTCTACACATGCAAGACTGATTTATTTCACTTATGATCTCTAGTTGCATCCATTTACTTATAAAAGCCTTGAGTTTACCTTTCTTTATAGCTGAGTAGTACTCCATTGCATAAAAATACCACATCTTTTTTATCCATTCCTAAGTTGATGGTCATTTGGGCTGTTTCAAAGATTTAGTACTTTTGAGGTCTATGTTGATTCAAGACCAGAAAATTATAGAAAACTAAGAAGGAAGCATAAATGGCTATTAAGATATTTAGGACCTGCCCAAATGACTACGTTGTCTTTGTAGAAGACTTTCTCCTTACAACATACTCTGAGCCAAAGAATGTGGTTAACTTTAAAAATAAAAATTACTTTGGTATTGGACAATTTGCTCTGCTGTTATTTTTTAGAAAGCCAGCAAGGGATTAGCCAAATATGTTATTTTTTAAAACATGTATCCTAACAACAGATTATTCCACTTTTTATATGTGTTTGCAGTATGTAGAAGTAGTTGTGTTTTATAGATCCCTGAATTAGCTAAGAGAGGACAACAGGATGAAAAAAAGTTTTTGTCTTACATAAGGAAGGACAAACTCAACAATGCACTTCATGATGAAGGAATATGGAAATCAAATAAAATGTTACAACTATTTTCCAAAATGTAACTCTTAACGTTTTACATAAATATGTGTAATGTGGAAAAACATTGAAAAAGACCAATCTTTCCAATTAGGTGTAGCATTGGCCCTCTCTATTCTAGAGATTCTTTTATCAGACTGTGAATGTTCCTTTCTATTTGTAGTTTTCTAAGAGTTTTTAATGAAGAGTGAACATTGGATTTTCAAAAAAAAATTTTTTTATGTTCACAGAGATGATCAAATGAGTTTCTCTTTCAGAAATTATATGGATTGGGGCCAGTGAGATAGCTTAATAGACTAAATGCCTGTTTTGGCAAGTACAGGGGCCAGGGTTTGATCCCTGGTCCCCATGCAGTGCCAGCCCCGCCCCCAGGGCAAGCTGAGCCAGTGACAGAGTCTGGGTTTGGTGATGCACACCTATAATCCCAGTTCTGGGGATGCTGAAAACAGGAGGATCACTATAAGTCTGAGCTGCGTAGTGAGACCCTGTACCAAATACTAAAATGAAAAAAAAGGAAAGAAATAAATTATATGGATTGAACATCAAATGGTAAACTAACCTTGCATATCTGAGCTAAACCCTAATAAGCCATGATATGCTAGCCCTTTTCTTAAACTCGTTTTCCTAGAATTCTATTTAGAATTTTTCATTGTATACTCAGGAAGGATGTTGGACTGTATAGTTTTCCATTTTGTAACATGTTTCTTGAGTTTTAGTATTAGGGTAAAGCATGTCTATTGACAGGCTTTGTTTAAAAGTGTTCCTTCCTCTTCAATTCTCTAGAAAAGCTTGAATGGAGAAGTTTTGGGTTTTTTGGTTTTTTTTCTTAAATGTTTAACATAAGACACCTGGGAGGCTCTCTGGGACTTTGAACTACACATCAACAGCTATGAAGTTATCCATTTCTTCTTGAATGATATTTGTGTCTTAAATATGTGAATTTCAGTTACATTGTTGAAATTACAAGCATGTGTTCAGAATATATATTATAAAATTATGTTCCTTTATTAGCTTTCTTTTGAATTTATATAGAATATCCTTAATTTATGCACTGTGCCGCTTATTCCTGATAACTGTAAATTGTGCTCTTTTTTTCTTGCTAATTTGGCTACATTATTGTCAATTTTATTAATCTTTTTTGCATTTGAATACATTAACTTTTCTCTGTTCTTTTCCTGTTCCATTGCTTTCTCTTCTCATATTATTTCATTTTTTCCATTAACTTTGGATCTCATTTGCTCTTGTGTCTTCTAGTTTCTAGAGATGGACAATGAAGTCATGACTTAAAATATTGCTTCATTTGTAAAAGAGGCCTATAGCACTCACTATGTAATTTGTCTAATATTGGGCAGTCTTCCACATATCTTCCTTTTATTGATTTCCGTATAATTCCATTGTTGATTGTGAACAAAGAACATATTTTGTGAGACTTACATGTTATCTGAATATACTGAGACTTGTTTTGTGATACAGGACATGGCCCATAATGGGAATTGTTCTGTGCGTACTTGCAAAGATTATATTCTGCCAATGTTAGGGAGACTGTTTTTAAACATAAGCCAGGCCAAGTTGTTAAGAGTGTTGTTCAAATATTCTGGATCCTCACTCATATTCTATTTGCTTTATCAATTAATGAGAGATGGATGCAGAAATTTCTAACTATGATTGTATATTTGTCTCTTTTTCTGTATACTCCTGCTAGAAATGAAGATCTATCACTTTGGGCACATTAACCTATAGGATCAACTCCCCCCAATGAATGGAACCCTTTATTGTCATGAGATGATGTACTTTATCCTTAGTGTTATTCTTTCCCCTGAAATCTACTTTGATATTAATATAGCCATTCCAGTTTACTTTTGATTGGTGTTATCATGCTATAACTTCTTTCTATAAGAACTTTCTTACTATCAACTTGTACCTTTATGTATAAAAGTATATTTATTGTAAGCAGTGTATATTTGGATTTTACTGTTCAATTTATACTGAAAAACCTCTGATTTTTAATTGAAATATTTAGTGTATTTATATTTAATGTGATTACTGATATGGTGGGACTGAAGTACATTATTTTGTTATTTGTTTCTTATTTGTCTTATCCTTTTTTTTTTTTTTTGCCTTTTTTATAGTTAAGTGTTTCTGGTTTTATTTCATCATGTTATTAGTTAAACTTTCCTGTCGTTTTAGTGGCTACTTTTACATCTTTAACTTTTCACAATCTACCTTCAAGTGATCTTGCAACTTTCAAGGGTAGTATGAGCACCTCACCAATTCCTACCATCCAGAAACAGAACATCTTCACAATAATATATTTTCATTTTTTACTTCCAAACTCTGTCATTCTTGCCAAACTTACACAAATCCCATTCTACATTATTACATTTATTTAAACAGTTAATTATTTTTTTAAAGATTCAAATAATACAAAAAAATCAATGTACTTATCCACGTAGTTGTAATTCCTGCTGCTCTTCATTCTTTGTGAAGTTCTGAAACGACAACTATTACAACCCCTTACACCTGAAAGCCTCCCAGTAGCATGAACACTAGTACAATTGGCTGGTGGTGAATTATTTGGTTTTCATGCATTTGGGGAAAATGTCATTTGATTGTGTTTAGGGTGATATTTTTGTTGGGTGTAGCATTCCAGGTTGACGGTTTTTCTTTCAGATCTTTAACAACATTATCCTATTGTGCCTTCACTTTGTTTCTGACAAGAAATCTGTTCTTATCCTTGACTTTGTTCCTCTTATGTAATGTATCTTTAATTTCCTGACAGCTACAAAGGAGCCAAACACTCTCACTGGAAGAAAGATAGCCTCTTTAACAAATGATGCTGGAAAACTGGCTTTTCATATGCCCAACACTAAAACTAGAATTATGTCTAACACCATGCACTAAATTGAAGTCAAAATGGCTCAAAGATCAAAATATTAAAACAGAAACATTAAATCTACTGGAAGAGAAAATAGGTAGAACTTTTAAAGATACAGATGT